AAAGACAGAGAAGTCAGAGAAAATGGAATAAGGGATCTTTTCTTGCCTTCTCTGAGCTGATGGGGTGGGGCGGGAGAGGGGATAAAGTCTCACTCAGCAACTCCCAGGTTTCTATTTGCTGGTTTAGGAGGAGAGATTGTATCTAAATAACCTCCACTATCCCACTGCCATAATTCCTTGTCTCAGCACCATGCTTGTCTTTTTTTAGAACTTTGTGATTTAGACTCATCACATAAATTTCCTGCTAGCAAAACTCTTCCCAGTTTGTAAAAGGGGATTGAATATTTTAATATTTTACAGTATTCCACAAAGAGCTTCTACAATCCTAGTCTGGAAGTCACTGAACAAGCATAGGGCATCTGGGAGGACAACTTAAATAGTCAAAGGATTTCATGACAGGAGAAGGACATCATCTTTTAGAACTGAATCGAGAAGGTACTCACAGGCTCACCCCGTGATCCATCCTGCCCTGGAGCACCTGGAGGTCCTGCTTCTCCCTTTTAATGATAAAAAGAAATAGAGAATTCCGTTTGCACATATGCTCACTAAAATAATAATATGTGACATTACACACTAAAACATGTTAAATATAAACAAAAACAAAAATTACTTCTGTATTATTTTTTTTCCTTTCCTTTCTTTTTTAAAAAATTGAAGTATAGTTGATTTACAATGTTGTGTTAGTTTCAGGTGTACAGCAAAGTGATTCAGTTATACATTCAGTTTTATGTATATTTTTTTCAGGTTCTTTTCCATTATAGTTTATTACAAGATATTGAATATAGTTCCCTGTGCTATACAGTAGGTCCTTGTTGTCTGGATTATTGATATCAACTTTTCCTGACATCAGATAACTCATTCTGAAATTCATAAGGTGACTATATAAATATCAAATCTATACATGACAGCAGATAATTGAGTTGTTATAAAATAACTGGGGTACTTGTATACTTCTTATGAGAATAGGATTATTCTTCTCTTCAAAGTAAATGTGACTTATACACATTTATATCAGTCTTTTTCATATCTATTTTTATTTTTACTTTAAAATTTTTCACCTGTCGGACATAATGTGACCTTGCCTCTTAAGAGTTGCATTTTAAAATCAAAAGAAAACTTTCATTAAGAATGCAGCTATTTATAGGTTATTACTTGAAATTATTTAGCACTTTAATCCAGTATCTATTTAAAATAAACATCTAAAATGTGTATTTTAAGTACCTGTTCAAATTATAATAGTTTTCAGTTATATATCTTTAAATTACTCTGCTCGAATTATTTATGCGCCTTATTTTACACCCACTTTCTGGAACGCTATAAGTTTTTCCCAAATGAATCAATTGCTAGCATGTAAAAACGTATCTGACACTATGCCTACTAAAACAATAAGTATTAGCTGAATTTAATCCTAAAATGTATAATATCCACAGATCAATACAGCTATTAAAATGCCTGGATGAAAATAAAGAGCGGATGGGGAGAGTCCCTTGAAATAGGCACAGACACATACCACACACACACCCTCAAACATTTAGACTTTTTGAAACCTATCTGTCATCAGGAGCCTTGATGCTGTGTGTCTGCTCAGCAAAGTATTACATCTTAACAAGCAAAGTTCTCTGCAAACAATTGTGCCACACTTGGTTGGCATTGTACCAGAGAGAACATTTCATCCTACATGAGAGCAAGAGAGAAAGTAAAACAAAAACGGAAATATTTTTCTTGTAAATAACTCAAATACCTGAGTCAAAATAAGTTTAAGGGGGGAAAAGCCTCAGAATACATGTGCTGTAGCATATGCCAACACCGTTTTCCATAGTTTCATATTCTAATGAACCCCCCAAATTGTACAAAATGAACCACAGAGGGAAGAACCAATAATACTTGGCTAACACAATCAGCCCTTAGGGAAAAAAATCCAGCCTCATCATATTATATAAACACTGCTTCCCCCACTTTTATGAATCCTTGCAATTCATTAGCACAGTGAAATACCAGCTAAAGCCAAATATTTCATCTGTTCCAATTTTATTTACAAACACTAGATGACAGTTGAGGATAGAAGGGGAAAAGGATAATGTTTTACTGTAAATTAACCAAACTAGAGGGCAAGGAGGTCCTGTCTACCCAACGGTTCTACAGAAAATCTTATGAAAATATCAGAGAAACAGAGATGGATGTTAGATTCACAAAAGCCGCAAGTTAAAAAGCCTAAAAGATTAGACAAAAGGGCTATGGCAGGTCCTAATGGCAGAGGGAAATTATACAATAACAATCCTGAACTTGGCACAGCAGTAGTCAGTGTAAGCAGCTTCAGGCAGGAAAAAACTCTTTGCAGGAAAGAGCTTTCTGCAGGGGGCACCCCTCTGTCTTGACACTAACCTTACACCAGGCACCCCTGTGCTCTACTCATCTCTGGCCCTAGCACACCTTTCAAATCTTTTGATCACATAATACTTTGCCTAACTTGTTGGTTCTTTCCGTAGATCAAAGAAGTAGAAATGAAGAATAAGTAATTACCAGATGACCCGAACTTTTCCCTAGCTTCCCATTCAGTAATCTTGCAAACTGTGTGAATGAGATAGGATCTAAAGAAAGATCACGAGGAGTTGACAAGTCTGCACTCAAGGTGGCATACAGTGGGGGATGGCAACCACTCTGACTCCCTAGCCCAATGATTAACTGAGATTACTTCCTGTTTCCCTTTAAAAGCTTTCATGGCTGAGCAGAATCTTCGGAGGTGGTTTTTGAGAGGGCACTGAGTCCATCATTTCCCCAGATTGCTGGCATTCTGATTAAAGGCAACTTTCCTCTCTACCAATATTTTATGAGTATTGATTTTGTAAGTGGTGAACAGTGGGACCAATTTGATAACATCAGGTGGAATCACCCGTGTCAGTGGTTCTCAAGGATGGTCCAGACCCCAGCCAGATCAGCTTCGCCTCACTTGGGAACTTCAAAATGCAAACTTTCAGGCCTTGCTGCAGACCTACTGAGTCAGAAACTCTGGATGGCGGGGCCCAGAAATTTATGTGAACAGCTAATTCTGATGATTTGAGAACGATGGCAGAGTTGTAAGTCATTAGGTCGCTTAACTTCTCTTACCTACAGGTACTGTCGTACTTAAGCAAATCTGTAGTTTAGATCATCTGTATATAAATTAAATGTATATAAATTAAATTATATACAGGATGATCTAATCTGTAGTTTATAATTTATAATATAAATTAAAGGCAGGAGGAGACTAGTCCAACAGCAGAAACAACTAACTTGGGATTCCATAGCCACTTTGGTTGGTAAAGATCTCTCCTTTTACTTTTGTGACCATTAACCCAGTCTTAATATTTTATTCTAATTAGGAGATTTTTTTTAAAAAAGTAACCATCAGCAACATATATCAATAATGGAGTTCCACAATTATTTGAGAATTTAATTTCTTCTTACTCTTTCTGCTTCTTGTTAGGGCAGATAATCAGAATGATACAGAATCATATGAATAAAACAGCATCTACTCTTTATAATATACGGCAGTGATTCTCCAACTCTAGCTGCATCAGAATCACCTGGAGTGTTTGGTAAACTGCAGATGGCAGACCCCATTTCAGAGTTTCTAATTCAGTAGTTCTGGGGTGAATTCCAAGAATCTTCATTTCTAACAAGTTTCCAGGAGGTGCTGATACTGCTGGTCTTGCAATGACACTCTGAGAACCACTGATCTAGCCCAGATCTTAAGAAAGAGACTCCACACCCTTTCTGCCCTCACCCACCCCTTTCTGCAGAACCACAGTGGCTTTGTATGGCTTTACACTTGGCGCTGAGTTTTACAATGGCCAGATTTTTCAGCAGGTGTCTCTATGTAGGAACTGTTTTCCTGGCTTGCACATTCTTTAAAGGCAAGAAACACATCCTATATGAGGTTTTTTTGTTGGTTTTTTGTTTAATCACCCAGAATACTTAGACTAGTGCTGAACACAATATACGAATATATGTAAGACTATATATGTTCCCTGCTTTACAACCATTGGAGCACATCAAGGAAGGAGGAATGGATGATTTATTCTTAAATACTCGATTTTGAGAAGATAAAGAAAATGGGAAAAACATTTGCAGATAGGGCTATCGCATATGCTGTTGGAAGATTATGCAGTGTAATTATGACAAGATGATGGCCAGTAATCTTTACGTATGAATGTTCTCTTCATTCTTTTTTTTCTTTCTTTCTTCATTCTTTTAATAATGTTTCATTGGGATATGAAAGGATGATTTCTGCTTAGTCATTTTTCATAAAATTATCCAGTGTGATACACAACTAGTATATGAAATTCAATACTGTAACAAGAACTTAATCTGAGCACTTGATTGCATTTATGACCTGGAGATCCTGGTATAAACCAATGTTTGGCTGGTGGAGAAAAAGGCATATAGCATGTCCTTACCTCTAATTTATCATTTTTCTATTCTATTATTAATTCCTTCTTGATATAAGATAATTGAGAAAGTGTCATGCTAACATTATTCCTCAATCCAGTCTCTACAGCTAATGTCAAAGATGATTTATTCCACAAGAAGCCAGTTATTTTTAAAAAGCAAATTTAACCCAAAACAGAGATGTGAAACTTGCATTGCTTGTGTATTTCCTTTCATATGGTGGTCTTTGGTACTCACCCAGAAAAAAAATAAAAGGATGGGGACTAATTTAGTTTGTGGCCATTGCAATCCTCAAAATCTGGTAGAAGGTGTGTGACCATTAAAATAAGAGCCTTTGTGAAAGTGCCTTGCACAGCTCTAGAAACAGAAGGAGAGATCCAGAAAAGTTAGCTAGTCTGCTGCCACCAAAGAATGGGAGTTTTAACGGTTCTTTACTCTTACAATTTGTTTCAGGATACACTATTTTCAAATAATGGTATTTTAAAATTTGTACCACTATGGTTTGGCATTATAATTTAGGCAGAGTGAATTATTTTTTAACTGCTTGAAACAATACATATTGATTATTTCATAATTTCTGGGGCCAGAAGTCTGGGCATGGCTTTACTGAGTTCTCTGTGTAGGGTCTTATAAGGTGCTAATTGGGAGGTCTGCTGGGCTGTGTTCTTATCTAGAGGCTTGACTGCAGAAGTATCTTTGTCCACATTCACTCACTTTATTGGCAGAATTTGTTTCATTGCCACCAATGGCTACTTACTTCATCAAGCCAGCAAGGAAATTCCCCAGAGCAAGCAGGCTGTAAGTGGAGCTTTTCATAATGTAACATCATTACAGGAGTGACATCTGTTGATTAGAAGCAAGTCATAGGTCCTGGGCACACTCAAAGGTAGGGGTTTATGAAAAGGCTGGAGCACCAGGAGGTGGTGGCCACTTTCAATTCTGCCTGGCACAATTATTGTCACATATCCCTGTAAGGGTTGTACTATTTTGCTTTGCTTCCAGCAATGTATGAAAATGCCTGTTTACTCACAGCCTTGCCAAGCAGACTGTACCATCAAGCTTTTGAACT